TGATACAGATGATGAAAGTGTAGACTGCTTTACCAAACTCTAAAATAATTTTAAATTAAAATTAGTAGAAAGTGAAAATTACTAATATTCTTAATACTACAGGAATAAGTGATAATTAATTTTCTAATAATTTAGCTATTAGCAATATTGCTTTTATTTTGTCAACAGATACATAATCTAGCCATTTTATATATTCAAATATAAAATAAAGTTCTCACTATTGAGAATAGAAAATTAATTTCAGATGGATAAAGTTGACAAATTAAATTTTAAATTTATTTAAGTTCCTAACTTATGCCATTATGCTTACTCTTTTGACAGCTTATCCATATAAAAATGATTTTGCTTTATCCTAATTTATGAAGACATGTAACTAATTTATTTTTCCATTGCATGCATTTTATCACAACATACTGGATATTATAATTATCTAACATAATATTAGATTGCTACATATAATATTAAGGGAATATTAATCCACTAAGAGTTCTTAAATCAATAAACAATCAATTTAAATAAATTACAGCAAATATATTATATCTAACACATAAAGAGGTTTACCCAATAATAATAATAGTAGTCATAATCCCTGAAAGTAAGTAAATGATTGGATTTTAATTCCCTGAGCTTAAACAATGGCATTTTTTAAATTATAGTATAATCATCTTAAATCAATCTGATTAATACTTTGAATGAATGGATGAATGCTTGCATGAATGAACACTGAAGGCATAAAAGTGTTTACTACCTTTCGAGAGTCACAGTAAACTGGAATGCACAGACAAGATGACTTGAATACAAAAAACTAGTTGAAATTCAATGTGTTTCACAGTAAAGATACAGTGGCTTTCTATTTGCAGAATAAAGCAGCTCAATCCCAAACATATATACAACTAAAATATTCTCAACTGCAATTAACAATGCTTCAACAACAATATATACTTCTTACTATGCAATTCTATCCTGGCCCCTATCCCCCCACCCCAGCATTTTAAAATGGTTAGCATAAGTGAACAACAAACAAGACTAGAGCATATACTTTTAAAATACTGATTTATGCATAATCTATTTAAGAACAACATACAACCACTTATAAATTTAGCCTGTTTTGAGGATAAAAAAACCCCATCCTTATATAAAACAGTGGGGGGGAAAATCCCTGCTATACATATGAAGCACAGATTAAGCCCAATACAACTGACCAATCAAAATTAGTGAATGCACTGCATCTCTCTGCAGTGGAGAGAAGCGACAAGGTAGGCTGTCATTCTGCAAAAGCTGCCCAGAAAGGCTTTCCTCTGAAAAGCAGTGCCGTTCCTTTTCAGAAAGGCAGAATCTAAATGTTGTCTCTGGAGGCAAGAAGCCTTCAGTATGTTAAATTACTTTCATTATGTCTTTTCAGATGCTTATTGATTCCACAGTAGGAAGAGTGAGAGACTGCAGCAGCCTCTAATCTAAGCAGCACTACATGTTCTATACATTAGCTGTAGTGCTGAAACAATGGCACAGAGCAGACAAAAATTTTCATTAAGGTGATTTCCGAAGAGAAGCTCATGACCCTCTTCCCCCAGCCCTCTACTAACAAGTGAACAAAATGAATCAATCAAAACTGGAAAGCTTCAACTACATCAAGAATGTATCAAATCTTTAGCAGAGGTAAGATGTATTCCTTATTACAGTATACAGCTGCTTTAGAAACAGTATAAAGGAGGAAAATGAGTTTGAAAAATTTCAACCTTAACTGTACGAGTTACTTTGTTAAATTCTACTCATTGCTAAATGTGTTTTTTTTAAAGATCTAGTTCTTTTAAAACATGATATATTTTAAATGCCATTTTTTAGGATGCATTGTTAAATACAAAGAACATGCTCTTTTAATTCACTATGAAGATAGCTGTTTTTAAATAATTTCAGACATACTAAATAGTCTTAATGTTTCTCAAGTTATTTTTAAATGCTTACATGTGTTGAAAAGAGCCTGGTTTACTATTCAGTTATTATTCGATACTCAGTTAATTTTATTATTGAGCATGTCCACTATGATTATTTAATTTGCAGGTATATTTTAGTGTTATCTTTTACATTTCAATCACATAAACAATTCAACAATGAAATTTATAGGAACTTATGGAATCAGGTGTGATCAGTTAAAATTCAAACCATGTGCTAATAATTAAGCAAGTTACAATATTCTTCCAGTAGGAAATGTTAACTTAGAAAAACAGAGAAAGGCAGTATGTTTAGTGAATGCTAATTGCTCAAAATTTCTTACAGTGCAGGTTAGCTTCTGAAATGAAAATAGAAACTTGTTTCTGTTGCAGTCATATTTGTAATGCTAACTCTGTTGCTTAATATGACCATAGACTCCGTTAGGAAAGAGAATATTCTAATTAAAAAAGCCTTTAATTGTGTATGCCTATGGTTCTGGCTCTATATATAGTTTGGTTTTAAAATAAAATCAAACGTCAGTGAATTGGAAATTATTAGGAACTCTACTTCTTAACCTTTTTTTTTTCCTTTCCATAAGGGCCAACAGCAGTTAAGTCAGTATTTACAACTGATATTATGAAGAATGCAACTGACCAAGCAGCTCCTTAGCTGTCTGAGCCACGAACTGCAGGATATTCCTGTAACAGATGATTTTAAGACACTAAGGAGTTAAAACCAGGGACGAGGTCAACATTACTGCTGGAATATAACAAATCACTGACATCCTGAGAAGATGCTAGATAAAACAGTCACAAAAAGAAAAACAATATAACTGTAAAAGCCTGAAAACAAAATGGTGAGCATTTTTTAAGGGGGAGTTTATACTTTAACATACCAGAATTATGGAAGCTACTGATTTCTGAAGAAACATGCATTTTCAAAAGGAGAATGTACATACCTTACCAGCAAGCTTAATGAAGCGTTAGCAAGTGTTTTCTGCACTATTCAGATATTCCTATCAATTGATATGACTAGTGGATCTTTGCATCTGAGTTTTATCACCGATTCTGTGCATCCTCTTCTAATGAAAGCAAACCAAATTAAATAGCAGGTGGTTTTTATCAAAAGAACATGGACTGGATTTATAATAGAAAGCAAGTTATATGATCAAGAATCATTTCAAAATAATGAGGACTGTTGTTTACATTTGTAATTTACAAAAGGATGTCTAATTATATTGTAGAAGCCAGATACCTTATGTTTCCATTTTGGTTTTCACATGTCTTGGAATATAAAGAGACACTATCATATATTCCTTCAAAGGGAAACATAATTCCTATCCTTGTTAAGGAAGTTCTCCTGGCTGTGACTTTTTAAAGCAAAACAAATCCAAATATTATGTACTGGTCAATAGAAGTGCATCAGCCAACTAAATCTCACAATTCACACAGTTGAAGTATTGGAGAGAAAGAGGAAAGAATTCCTACAAGACATGAAATAAAATACAGCTACTTCACTGTTGTCAGGTGAAAACTCATTTTAAAAATCTGGCGGTGGCATCATGTACCAATTTGTGAAAACCTGGCCTATTGAGGCACAAGGCCCATAAGGCAACAGCAAACAGGTAGGTCAGCGGCTGCATGCACTCCACCGCACTGCCTAACACTCACAAAAGAACAGAGCTTTTCTCCAGAGGAAGTGCCTTTCTCTTCATTATCATCTAGCTTGACATTTCTGCCTTATTTAATTGTAAACCTAACTGATGTGACAAAGACCTGATGTTTAAGATATCAGTTCAGAATATTTGGCACACTTAAAATTTTCCATTTTTATAGGCTTTCAACTTTAGGCAAGTCCATCACTTAACTTACTTAAATAAATATGCCTTTGATACTATTTTATACTATGCTCAAAAGACATTAATAACAATATCATTTGTTTCTGAAATATAATTTCCAAAATGGCATGCATAAACACAACTCATCTTGGAAAGTTGCCAAAGGTTATAATCAGGTTGATGTTTAACACTAATTTTTTTAAAATTATGAGCTTTCACAGTTTACATTTAAGGATGAATTTACAATTGAAATGCTGTACCTGAAATGTGAAATATAGTTGGTTGTATGAGTTCATATTTAAAGTGAATATACCAATTACTGACATTTTAACTGAGAATTAGACATTATTTTTTTTTAAATGATGCCAAACTCCTCTATATTAAAATACAGATTTGCATCAATGGGCTACAGAGTTTTCTTCCCCCTTGCCTCAAAATTATACACTGGGTAATTTAAACAAAGGTTTCATAATAGGTAACTTTAAAAGCTTCCTAAAAACAAACAAACAAACAAACAAACAAAAATAACCCACTTCAGATAATCTCCTTTTTCACAAATTCATTTTCTATGATAAAAATTCTGTTTAAAAACATAAAATCAAACTATAAACTCTTCTAAGCCAATGTGGTATTAAATTTCAATTTTGATCCTCTACAAATTATCAGGGTGTGGTCACAAAATAAAATCATTTATAAGAGTGATTACTGCTCTTTTTCCAAGCTCTGTGGCTTCTTTTGACTTTGACATAATTTCCTTTTTCTTACAATTTTTACAAGTTTCAAAGTATAAAAGTAAATTAGTATTTTCATTGCCATATATGAATTATTTGTTATTTGACTGTATCTGTGGAAAATAACACCAATATTCCCCAACCATCCACCTGACCGAATTGAAATTTCAATTAAAATATGGACAAAATAACTAGTGTTCTGTACCATATATCAGTTTAAATAAACACTTGTCCTGTTCATTTGAAATCTCAGAAGAATAATTACACCTACACTAATTATGTTAGAACATATTAAAATAGCATTTACTTCCCACAACATTTTTAAATGCAATTTTAAGGCATTTGGGTTAAAATTACTTTTTTTGCATACTGGGTAGTTTTATTATACAAAAGCATACTTTACCTAAAATAACAAGCTTGAAGAACCCAAACAGGAAAACTGTTTTTAGTACATAAAAGAAATTTGCATTGTATGAAATAATCCCATTCAGATGCAGCTTCAAAGATAAAATCCAGTTACCTTTTACATGAAAGCAATGCAATCTTGATGTTTCTTAATTTTGCATTAGTAGTTACAACCTTAGAAATCAAATGAGTTGTTAGATGCACAATGGAAAAAAAAAGCATTTTACAAAGAACACATGTTTTATACAAGTCATTTAACTTGACAAATATCAAATAGTTTATTCTATTTCACTTTCTAGGAAAAACACCAACTGCTCCAAAAGAATGTGTTTCTCTCCCATTCTGGAAGTCAACATGCAGTCTGAATCTAACATTACAGTGCGAGATGACATTGATGACATCAACACCAATATGTACCAACCACTCTCATATCCATTAAGCTTTCAAGTGTCTCTCACCGGATTTCTCATGTTAGAAATTGTGTTGGGACTTGGCAGCAACCTTACCGTTTTGGTACTTTACTGCATGAAATCCAACTTAATCAACTCTGTCAGTAACATTATTACAATGAATCTTCATGTACTTGATGTAATAATTTGCGTGGGATGCATCCCTCTAACTATAGTTATCCTTCTGCTTTCACTGGAGAGCAACACTGCTCTGATCTGCTGTTTCCATGAGGCTTGTGTATCTTTTGCAAGCGTCTCAACAGCAATCAACGTTTTTGCCATCACTCTGGACAGATATGACATTTCTGTAAAACCTGCAAACCGAATTCTGACAATGGGCAGAGCTGTAATGTTAATGATATCTATATGGATTTTTTCCTTTTTCTCTTTCCTCATCCCTTTTATTGAGGTAAATTTCTTCAGCCTTCAAAGTGGAAATACATGGGAAAACAAGACACTTTTGTGCGTCAGCACAAACGAATACTACACTGAACTGGGGATGTATTACCATCTGCTGGTACAGATCCCAATATTTTTTTTCACTGTCGTAGTCATGTTAATCACATACAGCAAAATTCTACAGGCTCTTAATATTCGAATAGGCACAAGATTTTCAACAGGGCAGAAGAAGAAAGCAAGAAAGAAAAAGACAATTTCTTTAACCACGCAACATGAGACTACAGACATGTCACAAGGCAGTGGTGGGAGGAATGTAGTTTTTGGTGTAAGAACTTCAGTCTCTGTCATAATTGCCCTCCGGCGAGCTGTGAAACGGCACCGTGAACGACGAGAGAGGCAAAAGAGAGTCTTCAGAATGTCTTTGCTGATTATCTCTACATTTCTTCTCTGCTGGACACCAATTTCTGTTTTAAATACCACCATTTTATGTTTAGGCCCAAGTGACCTTTTGGTAAAATTAAGATTGTGTTTTCTAGTCATGGCTTATGGAACAACTATATCTCACCCTCTCCTATATGCATTCACTAGACAAAAATTTCAAAAGGTTTTGAAAAGTAAAATGAAAAAGCGGGTTGTTTCGATAGTGGAGGCTGATCCCATGCCTAATAATGCTGTAATCCATAACTCATGGATAGATCCGAAAAGGAACAAAAAAATTACTTTTGAAGACAGTGAAATCAGAGAGAAATGCTTAGTACCTCAGGTTGTCACAGACTAGAGCAAAGTCCAAGTTTCACCAAAATCACATTCAGATGAGTTTTAAATTAAAATTGTAAAAAATAAAATTACTGCCAAATATAAGAAAATAATTTTTAAGTACCAGTTATGTTGTAAATTTTCAATGTAAATGTCATTTAGATTAGGTCATATATATTCAATTTCTTCATTAATGTATTTGTTGCATGGCAGTTTGTTGAAATATTTTGTCAATATTATGTCCATCAGAAGATATTAATGTAAGTCATATTTTCTAAAGAATAAATACATAGCCTTAAAACAGTGTACAATTTTAAAATGTAACTGACACAGGTATCTTTGAATTTTTTTTTTTTTATAAAGTGCATTGTTTCTAAGACATTAACTACAGGCATATTTGATGACAAGTACAATCTCATTTTAATATAAAAGACAAAATTAAAGATTCAAAATCATGAAAAGCAAATCAGGATTTTCGGTATTATTATAATTTGTTTTCTGATAAACTCTCCATTCTAGAGCATTTGGTATACAAACAAAACAAACAAGTAATGTATGAGACATATTTTTGGAATGTATAAGGTTGGAGGATTTATCAGAATTCTAAAATTGAAGAAATTGATAATAAACAAACCTATTAACACACACCAAAGACAAAAAATTTAAAATTGACATTTACTTTGTAAAAATAAGGCTTGTTTTCTAAGATGAAGGGCGTTTGCCTATATTACACAAATACACTAACAGTAAAAAGAAGGAAGACAACTAACTCAAAGTAAACAGCCTCTCGCTTCCTTCCTCACTTCGCTTCAGTCTAAACTAAATGCTCTGGATTAATACACTATACTGATAACAACTGGTGCATTAAAAATAACACACCTCTCAAAGCTATCCAAGTCTGTCTTTTCTGTAAAATAAAAGATACTTATCTGTATATGAATGCTAGCAAGAATAAAAAACAAAGAGACTGTATCTCTGAAGAAAAAACTAACAAAGCTCTAATTTTAGAAATGTAACAACATAAAAGTAATAAAATTTACACGTTCTAAGACTATTCATAATACCAAGGAGTTTAGAATATAGTAGCTTCTTTCACTCTGAAAAATCAGCAAATCTAGTAATTTTTCTAGTTCACATCATTTATTTTTAAAATTTTTCTCTCCAATTCTCAAGTCAGGTAGTAAAACTACGAACCCACTAATTTTAACTATAAAAACTCAGGACTGAGCATCTCATGTCAGATAAATATTTTCCAATTGTGACAAGACAGCAATCTATCAATGAGTGCTAATATTAGAAAATTAGCAATAAATTGCTCAAAATGGCTGAATATTTGCTACCTTAAAACAGATTCCATGAGTACACTGTATTACATTTTCAACAATGTATTCACTAAATAAATTAGCTACCCAATTTATGTTAAACAACTCAGTAGCATTACTTTAACGCAAATGAATGAAATTTGTCAAATGTGAGTGAATAAATCTTTGGTGCAGTAAAGCATGATGCAATAGCTTGTATCTGCTGCGGTTCTCTGTAAATGAAGTAGTGCGTTATTTCTGATACTGCTAACAATAATGTGAAACCCTGTCAAAGGCCTAGCTGGTTTAAGTTTGCCTTCTTTTCTACTAGGGCACTCTCCGGTGGGTGTAGGACCTAGGGAGTTGGCTGCTAAACCAAAGGATGTAACTCTGTGGCAGTTCTGATCTACCAGCAGCTCTGTGGGAAAAAGATGAGCTCTTTCCCCCCTGCAGTTTACTGCCTTGGAAACCCCAAAAAGGGTCTACTGTTGAGTTGGTTCCAACTTGACAGCAGTGAGTTTTATTTTCTATGTTATGAAATTTGTTAACAGTTCAACCTGACAAGATGTAGCATGAGCAAGTAAAACTTAACTGTTTTTTAAAAATTCTGAAGGGAAATTAAGACCTCATAAATAAAGATATTTAAGAAAAAGAAATACATTTGGCACAGAATATCTCATAATTGCCTGATTAAAAAATTTTAAAAGGCAACATAAACTTGGATCTCTAAGCATAAAACTAAAATTTTTCAGATAATCTTAATAAAAGTTAGACTTCTGAGAGTTAATAATAAAGCATTAGTTGTGCTTTGAATATTTTTAATCTTCATGTATATAAGCATGCCAAAGAACTCACTTTAAAACTATAGATATTTTTTAAAAACCCAACTACAGATTGCTAATATATTTGCTCAACTGCTTTCATGTCCTCTGTGATAAGAAATGCAGCAAAATAAGAAACTCATGGTAATGAGTATAATATTGCTTCTTAAATCATTATATGTCTACACTTAGACATTATATGTCTACACTTGGACAGATCATTGGAAAAGCCAATTAAAATATTTTTTACCCATCTGTAATGATCTTTAAAGGCACTCTGGTGGCACAGTGATTCAAATCTTCAGATGCTAAACAAAAGGTTAGTGTTTCAAACACACCAGCAACAATTTGAGAGAAAGATGTGACAATATCCTGCCACTCCTGGACACCCTCCGTGACACTTGTATTTTCAGTCCTGGAGTTGCTATGAATTAGAATCAAGGCAGTGGGGAAAGATCCTTCAAGCATACAAAAATGCAGTCATTGATTTACAACAACAATAAGGTTCTGATCTATCAAAAATCCTTTAATAGCTTTTCATGGCATTAAATAGTCAAGAATATGTAAACAGAATAATATTTACACATTACAAACTTGGCTTCTAAAAATAAGCACCAACTATGTTTGCAATTCCTGACCCGTTTAAAGGAGCAAATGAGAAGCTTAGCAAATGTCTATGCTTTATTAAATGTTAGTTCTATAAACAAGGTGCATTACTTTCTTACATTCTCTTCAGAATGGTCCATGTGTCAGTGTGTGAATTTTTTTCCCTTATTTCAGAAAATTTTACCAGAAAAAGCATAATTGCTCATTTTTCCTGTTAAAATGCAAAAGCCATAATGGCAGCAATAATCTCTTTAACATGGAATTCTGCCATAAATTCAGTATTTTTTAACTCATGTGCTACAAAATCATAGATGCAAATGTTAGTTTCTACATAGTTAATTGGGTCAGTTCTAAAAAAATTAGAAAAACAGTATTTTAAAAACAACTTAAAGACAGGCTAACTGAGCATATTTTTTGTTTACTTTTTATTTTTGTCTAATAATTAAAGGAGATTGATTATTCTACCATTTACTATCCAATGGATGTTCAAACATTATGAAAGTTTAATGCTTTACAATTGTTTTTTAATAAAGCACCATTTATAATAACGCTGTACTTCTTTATCATTGGCAAGTCCATTTTTTAAGTACGTGGTTTGTTTTTTCATGCCCCAATAAAATCCTAACAAAAACTCAATTTTCTGGACATTAAAAATCAGGCTCTTCATTTAACTAATTAAATTTATGGTAGAAATGTAAAATTATATAAAAGCTGCATTTTACTAGAGTTCTATTCCACAAAGTAATTTCAAAACTACAGTCTAAAGTCAATACACTTTCAATTTTATTATATTTTAAGATGATATAACTAAGTAAATTTTGTAAGAATTAATATTTGTATTCTCACAATGTAGAAGGCATATGATAAGACTCTTTGAATTATATAAAATAGTCATTGTTTCCAAGAGTTTAAAATCTAGAATAAAAGAGAGCAGACTATGTTAGAGAGTACAACTGTTAGAGATTTGAGAAAGGATTATGCTAGATTCAAGAACAGCAAAGCAAGAACTCATTGCTATGAAAAGTTACTATAGCATATTTCAGACACAGTAGGCTATTCTCTTTAGAAGGAAAGTGATACAGACATAAGAAACTGATCTGGGAAGTTCATTTGGTGCTGTAAGGAAAAAGGCCTTAAATACAAGGATGAGAAATCCGAGAAAGGAAGCAACATGATTAGAAATCAGCTTTGACAAAATTAATAGCACAGCAAAATCTACAAAGAATCTGTTGGGTAAGAACATAAAACAATGTATTGTCATCACCTTGACAAGTAAGCAGCACAGAAAAATGCATTAGCAAAAACTCAACAAAAACTACCTTGGGACAAGTATTTGGAAGACAAAATCATAAAGGTTTGTCAAATGACTAGGAGGATACTAGTACAAAAGAAGAAAGGAAACAGATTATCCTTAATGACCTAATTATACTTTGCAGAAACTCGATGGATAATAAGAGCAAAAATACAGCCAAAAAGTTTTTGGAAAGGCAAAAAATGTAATTAAGTAGAAAAAATATATTATGAATGCTTTAGTTTCTGGGAATTGTATTTAAAACCAATAATTGTTATTATTGCCTTAAATTATCTACCTTACAGGTAGCATATTGGTTTATTCCGTTTTTCATTAAACACAAATACTTCTTTTCTTAATATCTTTAATTACAAACAATTCTAAGATTTAATTTAAAATATCAGGATAGATAAAATTAAAAAAATATCAATATTATCCTTTCCCTTTTTCTCTTTAATAATCCAATTAGGAACATCTGTCCAAGTTCTAATTTATATAAATAATAAATCCTCCATTCTACATTAAAAAATCATTTTAAAAAGAAAAATAATTTTTAAAATATAGTGGTATTTTAAAAGACAAAATTAATAAAAGATAAAATAATAAATCCTTTTTTCCACTGTAATGAAATAGCATCAAGAAATGTGTTGGAAAAATCAGTTTTTCCTAACGAGCTAAAAAAGGGGGGAAACCTCAATATACTCTTTTTCTTCCTCTCTACTAAATAAAATGAGAAATAAAAAACTAAACAGAGTTTTTGAAGACTATTTTCTATACATTTTAGAGATTGACATTTGTATGAACTGCTTCTAACTCTAAGTTGACTAAAGAAAGAGAGATACTCAGCAATCCTACTGAACTCAAAAGGTAAAACGAAACTCACGCCAAATTAAAACAGGCATGTTGTAGTTGTTGTTGTTGAGTACCTTTGAGTCGGAGGTGACCCACAGCTGACTCTCCAGGAGATTTTCAGAGACAGTAAATTGCTTTGGGGGAGACTGTCTATCCTTCTCCCATGGAGCAGCTGGAAGATTCAAACTCTGGGCCTTTGGGATTGCAGCACAGCTCCTTACCTCTAGGCCATAAGCTCCATAAGCCAATCAGATAGCGCATTTGCAAAGGCTCTAGATCTTTATGGAAGCAAACTGCCTGTGCTTTCATCTCTCACAGTGGCCGCTAAGTTAAAGCCATGACTTTCTATTTAGCACCCAGGCACTTAACCATCACACCAGAGAGCTCCTTAATCATGATGACTAATAGTAAATGTTAAGGGAAAAAAGTT